ATTCACATGGAATAGTAACTATCGGGCAAAAACATTGAAAAGGAAACATTTTTTGAACATAAATTGATGCTTCTATAAGTGCAAAAATTTGTGCGTTTTCTTTTGATCAAAAACGCTTTTTAAAAGCACTAATTCGGTTGGTTTTCAATGTAACCTGAAGAACATCTATCAAACAATGTTTTAACATCAAAATTTTCATTCACATTTCACTTCGAACTCAAGTGCATTTTTACGAGCTTTTTTCGCAAACACATTTTCATTCGAGAAAACTCAATGTTTCACTTAGTAGAAAATTACTATGACATGAAAATCTGACTTTACGAACTTCACACTTTCACCCCGTATCATCATATAAACATTACTTTAATAAAATACGCGTGAAAATGCTTGTCGAAATGTTAACAAAAACATACAATTTTTGTTTACGTTTTTCTAATCGTCCTCGACCCGTCAACTGATAGTGCCCCTTCCCTATAAGTAAGCCAAAGACATCGAGACGATGCAACGCAAAAGCGCAGTTTTATGGCTATTTCCGCTCTTTTGAAAGTCAGCGAGATTGTTCAGTAGGGTGGGCAATGCGCAATATTTAATTTGCTGAATTTTCTTTGGGAACCAGAATCATCTTTCTTTCAAAGACTGGATGTTCTCGTTAATTATATTAAAAAAACTATATAATTTCAGGTCATATTCAATTAATAAGCTAAGATTCTAAACGAATTGAATTAATTTTGTTTTGTTTTTTAACAGTTCGAGTATCAACTGTCGCGTTTCCCTGTGCTTAAAGATGGGAAAATGTTGTTTCCGTGTTGTTTGGTTAAAGCAAGTGGATTCCAGTGGATGCACGGTATCGGATTGGGCCAAGAAACATTCAGAAACGGAAGTGTTCTGCAAAATCTGTAGAAAATCATTTTCGATTACGAAAGGATTCCAGGCCATCGATCAACATGCGAGGTCCGCAAAACATAGAGATGCATGGATCGCTCAACACGGTGCTAACCAAATGCATCTAACCGTAGAGCAAGAAGCGGGGTCCTCTGGAATAGTTCCGAACAAAAAACTTCAATTATTCAGCGAGAAGCATAAGATAAGGTTGAATCACATTAATCACCCAGAAATAGACATTCATTTTACATTTTTTTGCAAAAAATGTTAATTAAAACAAGTGGTTCACTATGGGATGCTGAAAGCTTTAGGGTTTTAATTTGGAACATCTGACTATATGTTAGATTTTGCTGTGCTTCCGTAATTAGTAATTTTCCGTTTGATTTAATCAATATTTTACATAAAATAGATACTGAAGAGTTGTGAAAGGAAATGGATTTTACCGGATAATCGCTCCAGTTACCAATTACAATAATACCAATAGTGCACTAAACGCAGCGGTCAAATTTAATAAGAGGCGTAATGCATTAGGAGATGCCATTAGATAACGAATAGTATTGCGAACTCAAAGCTGACAAAAACTCATATGGGACTGATGTGCAGCCCTGCCTGTAAGAAAACTGACAACATATAAGTGCTTGTATACCATACCAACCCAGGGTTACAGTCTCGCCATTCAACGCTCAAAGCTTGACGGTATTTGTTCAAATGAAATACTAAATGGATGCGCATGAAAGCTAGTAGTTGTGTTCCATCGAACACAACTACACATTTTGGGCAAAAATTATGAATTGGAAAAGGTTTACTGAAAAAAGGATTTATCTTGAAAATTGAACAATTTGAAAGAGTAGTCAGCAGCAGGCTAGTGTAAAAATCAATCACTCATGTCTGTTTACAACAGATACCGATCATACAAGAACAAATACTACTAATATTGACAAAATGCTTAAAATCTTCTTATACATTTTTAAATTGTAGCTCAATAAGTCCTACTTGGGTCTCCTTTTTTGGTCACTTTTTGTGCCTTAAAAGTCACTTAATGGTCACTTTTTTACTCATTTTAGTCACTTAATGGTCCCTTTTTTACTCATTTTAGTCACTAAAATCACTATTTTTGGTTATATTTGGTGCTATCAGCCCTGTTATTGGAAAATAGCAACTGATATGCGTAAAACATGATGGATTTTTTCTTACCTTTTCACGCCACTGAAAAAGCCTGAAACAACAGCCAGGACACCAGCAGAACAAAACCCGTCCGTCCACCCGTCTTGATTTTTTTTTTTAATGGATGAGGTAAGCTTTTATTCAGCTTTTTTTGAAAATAAATTAAACACACACACAAAATTTCCAGGATTATCTCTGGATGAAAATCGAAGCAGTGCATGCTATCGAACCTGGTCAGCATGTCATTAGCAAGGCTGACCACGGAAGACATATTGCTCATTCAGAGAGATATGCGAGAGATGGCACAGGACGTGGCAGAGAAGGCAGCCATTGGTGGACCATCTCTCGAAAGCTTGTATGGGCGATACGCGGATCGACCACATGATTTTAGTTTCATGGAGGGAGAGATCCTGTGCATTCTGGATCTTGCGGATATTGTGCGAACAAATGGCATTAAGCCGTTTTTGAAAGCACGTAAAAAGCGCGAATCAGGGCGCGAATGCATCTTGGGTCCGCCGAGGAACAAGACGACGAATTTGATGGCCACAAGGAAAAACTCCGAATTAAGATTGAAGCCCATTTCGCCAATCCGTAAGTATACAGAAGGGTGGAATTAAAATGAAATTAGCGAATTTAGAATGCACTACTTGTACCAAGCTTGTACCAAAAAGGTGTTTTGACCGATTTCGGTAATGTGCCACTTGGTCCTGATCATCCTAAAATCCAAGCACTTTGAATTAAAATTTTAATTTTCTGTTTCGTAGGAAATATCACTTCGATCAGCAATACTTCATGTCAAACTTGATGATTGCTAGGTACCGTTGCCAGGAACAATACCGAGCGGGAATTACTTGTCCGTTGTGTACTTTTGCCGGAAAAAAATACTAAGCTCTCAGCAACCGCTGATGCTGTTGGGAACTGGAACTGGAGTATTTATAGTTTTACGTGGCATGTTGCCCTGAAGCATCCTAGTTGTTCGAATTTGGATGCGTCCACTCTCCAAACGGCGTGCTTCTGATGCTGTCAGTCCTGCAATTTCATCTCCTCCAAAGGTGCTTTTGGAGGCGGATTATATTGAGAACAAGATCCCAAGCAAGAGTTATACACAGTTTGAGTCGTCTACAGAATCGACAATTTCAAACGAAGTTTATGAAGATCTGAGTGTCATCGAATGTAAGTTTATCCTATATAAGCGTATCTTGAGAAAAAAAAAGACATTCTACTCTCGCTGTTTTATTTTCGTTATCTTCTAGATTCTGTCGATTTTTTGGAGGACAGCCAAGAGGACAGTCCTGATAACAAAAATGAGAACACTCAAGGTATCTCTGGCGGTAGGAAAAACGACAGCTGGGAAGATATTATTCTTCCACTGAAGGGTGCCAAAGGTAAGAATAATATTTAACCACAGACAAACAGACGTCACTCGTTATTTTGTATCATCGTTCATGCATTTACGGATTGAAACAATCAATAATTTCGTTACATTAGTGAATTCAGCGGCATACCATATGGAAGCCAAAGGAAAAAAAAACATGAAGAAGATGCTGGCGAAGATCCTTTGCTGATTCAATGAGATATGATGTGTAGTTTTGTTTGTTTGGCTTTACAGTTTTCAGATCAGTTGAGTAATATGATATTAAAGTACATGATTCGAATCACTATTTGTTTTTTGTCACAGTAACATAGAATTCACAAATGGGTCATTTATTTTTTGAAACGTTCGAGTAGAAAAGTTCGAAGTTTGGTGCGTTAACTTATCTGATTCGATCTCCCGACGTAAAGTAGTGTTGTTGGCCTTTAAAATTTATAAGAATTGGAGACAACATGAGGGCACTTAGGTAGAATTAGAAGCAGTGACGTCTCGGCTACTCCACTGCACTTTATTAAAATTCTGGGATCTTGTTTTAACTGTACGGCTTTACATATTGGACCAGGAATTGTCAGGAATAGAAATAAAAAATGACTTTTATTCGTTGATGTGAATGATAATGTGTTTTTGAGGATAAAATAGATGTGGGATGTGGATGTGTCGTTGACCCTGTATTGGACTTGGAATAGTTAGGGGAATTCCGTAGAAGTTCAATTTTTTATAAAACGTCAGGGAACTTCGTTGAAAATAAAATAAAATTCTTCTTTCGGGAAGTGCATACAAGTGTTTTTTTTTTTCATCAGTAGAAAGGAAAGTTGACGAGCGCAGACCTCTGCTCGATATAAGTAATAATATAAATAGCCGATCCTTCCTGTATAGTAAGCGAGGAATGCGGTACACTCCAATAGAGTTAGACTCGGCTGCATACGACTAATTGACGCACACTGGGGCAGATCAGTGATTTTCTCGGAAAAAATTAATAACTTTTGAACAAAGCATCCAATCAGAATACTGTCTTCGGTAAAGTTGTTTGAATTAGTTAGGCGCTTCTTCTGAATAAATTAATTAGTTCGCAACTTGGTCGTAGAGATGGCGCGCGAATCTAACTTTTGAATAAAGCATCCTAGACGTATGGTGTTTTCAACAAAGTTTTTTATCTATTAAAATAAAGGAAAGTTGCAGAAGACATAAAACTTCCATAACCTTTAGTTTCGGAGATATAGGGTATATTGAAAAATATGATGCCAAAATTCTTATTTGTTAACTTTTTGTATATTTTCATATGTTTGCTCTGGTTTCTGCATTTATTCCAACGAAAACAAACTAGGTGCAAATTTTCATTGCACTATTTGTGGAATTTATAGTGGTTTTAGTGAAATATTCTCGAAAAACATGATATTTTGCCTGTATTTTAGGTGGGTGGGATTCTCGTAGGGGCAGCTAAGGGCAGCTGGACTTTGTCTCTTTTGCTAGCTCATGTCATTGTCTAACATATACCAGAAAACTGAAGACATGATATTCGATGATTTTTTTTAATTGCAACGATATCGACAGTTCGGACCAAACCGTCATCGCCTGGATATACGGCTATGATGCGACCCAACTTCCAGTTGGTTTCGATCGTGGAGCAGAACAACCATGTTTTCACGGATGTTCGGCGTAGTTCGAAGATTCTTCTTTCTGGGTTGTAGGGTGTTCAGATAGTCGCGACTCCAAGCGCGCCAGAAATGTTCGCGCATAAGTTGCAGCTGTTGCCATCTAGTTAGACATGCTGCCTTGACGTCTTCCAAGGATGGCTCGGGTATGGCAGTGAGAGGGCGTCCAATCAGATAGTGGGCTGGCGTGATCACCAGTGGGTCTGCCGGGTCGTTGGAGATGGTGAAAAGTGGTCGAGAATTTAGCACAGCTTCGATTTCTACCAGAACGGTGGATAGCTCCTCGAACGTGAGCTTTACGTTGCCGACAATACGCTTTAGATGGCTCTTGGCGGACTTGACTGCGGCCTCCCAAAGGCCACCGAATTCGGGTGCGTCCGGTGGGATGAAGTGCCACTCGATCTCACGGTTGCGGCAGAATTTCTCGATGGTGTTAACGGCTTGCTGATCCCGGAACTGTTGGAACAAGGCGTTCAGTTCATTGTTGGCACCTCGGAAGTTGGTTGCATTATCCGAGTGCAGCTGTTGGATCATTCCTCGTCGTCCAAGGAATCGCTTCAGGGACGCCAGAAAGGCATCGGTGCTTAAGTCGGAAACCGCTTCTAGGTGGACGGCCTTGGTGGTCATACAAACAAAGACGGCCACATATGATTTCACTAGAGCAGGACGGCGCACACCTTGCTTAATCAGGAAAGGCCCGGCGTAGTCCACTCCGGTCACGGCAAATGGGGGCGATGGTACCACTCTCGATGCTGGCAGGTTTCCCATCAGTTGGCTGGTATTGGTTGGATTAATCCGGAAGCATCTCACACACTTACGTGTAATTTGCCGGATGGTGGAGCGAGCGTTCAGAAGCCAATATCGTTGTCTCATGGCGTTCATCAGGCCAGACTGCCCGACGTGAAGCTGTTCGACGTGCATCTGTCGAATCAAAAGGCGTACCACCGGGTCCTTGTCTGGTAAGATGATGGGATGACGGCTCTCGAACGGTAGTTGTGAGCGATCGAGTCGACCGCCCACACGAAGTAGACCATCGGTATAGATAGGACGCAGGTTTGCCAACTTCTTGCAGGGTTCGTGGTCAACAACTCGTTGAATCTCGTCCGCCAAATGAACGAACTGAACCACGTGGATTATAGCTTCGGTTGCCTGTCGCAGTTCCGGTATCATCAGGTGATGGTTTGTCTTTCGCTTGGCAGGGTTCTTCATACGGCAGTTACCAACGAATCGCAAGACGTAGCCCATTACACGTTGGATTTTGCGGAAGCTACTGTACCTGGAGAAAAATGGGAAAGGTTTCATACTCACAGCTGCGGTGACGATGACTGGTTTCAGCTCTGGCAGCAACGGATCTGGTACTTCTTCGGGTGGATCGATGTCGTATTTCACTCTCTGGAGGAACTCAGGGCCATTCCACCAAAGGTTGTTGTTCTCCAAGGCTCCAGGTAGTTGGCCGCGCGAGACGATGTCGGCAGGGTTCTGCAGCGATCTAACGTACTCCCACCGGAATCCACCAGTGTGTTCTTGAATTACAGCGATTCGGTTTCGGACGAATAATAGGAGTTGGTTGAGCGGTTTCTTGATCCAGGCTAGGACAATCGTACTGTCACACCAAAGTACAATTTCCCGGAACTCCATATCCAGGGCAGGTAATACCTTCAGAACTAATCGTGTCAGCAGGAGAGCGGCGCAAAGTTCTTTTCGTGGGATGGAAAGATCGTGAAGAGGGGCCAACTTGGATTTGCTTGTCAGTAGGCGGAGCTTCGCTGAACCATCGTTGAACAGGCTTCGTAGGTAGATGCAGGCCCCGTACGCCACTGTTGAGGCATCGGAGAACCCGTGCAATTCGAACGCGACGACTCCTTGGAATGTCACGCATCTTGGGATGGCGATGTTGTGCAAATGCGACAACGAAGCTTGAAGTTCTTGCCACTTTTGCACCGTGTCTTCATCAATCGGATCGTCCCATCCGACCTTGAGCTGCCACAACCGTTGAGCCATTAGTTTTGCCAATACGATAACTGGAGAGACCAGCCCAAGAGGGTCGAAGAATTTGGCTATCTCCGAATACATTACCCTCTTCGTAACACGTTGTTGTAATGGCGGCGGTAGCTTCGGATGGTTTGCAATGTACAGCGTATCGGCATTCGGATCCCAGAGCAAGCCAAGGACCTTGATTGCTTCGTTTACATCACGTTCTTCTAACGGTACCCTTTTTTCCTGGTCTTCCACGGGAATGCGCTCGAGAAATTCTTTGGAGTTCGAGCACCATTTATGTATCGGAAAACCACCACGTCCTAGGAGCTGCTTCAATTGTTGTTGAGCTTCGATTGCATCTTCCACCGAGTCTGCGCCGGACAGTACATCGTCCATGTACGTCTCCTCCTTTACAATGCGAGAGGTGATAGGAAAAAACTCACCTTCTTCCTCGACGAGCTGTACCAGGCACCTTGTTGCGAGGTATGGAGCGTATGCTGTACCGTAGGTAACAGTACACAGTTCCAGAACCCGTAGCTTCGGAGACGGGTGTGGTCTCCAGAAGATTCTGAGGAAACGTCGATCTTGTAGTGCTTGCAGTACCTGCCGGTACATCTTGGCAACGTCTCCAGAAAAGGCGATCTTGAACTTTCTGAAGCGTAGGACGATGAAATGCAGATCATTCTGCACCACAGCACCACTTGGTTTAAAGACAGCTTTTCGGATGACGACTTGGCACTTGCATCGAACACGACACGACATTTTGTGCTCGAGCTGGACGGACGCAGTACAGCGTGATGTGGAAGATAATACCTCTGCTGGTTGGGAGGATCATCAGCTTCATTGATTTCACGGCAATGTTCGAGAACCTCGTACTCTCGAACGAACTCTACGTACTGCGCTTGTAGTTCGGGATTGTTCATCAGTCGTTTCTCCAGCATCAGGAACCTCTTCAGAGCTAAAGCACGGCAATCGTCCAGCTGCGAAGAATTTTCGTTGAACGGCAAGCTCACGATAAATCTTCCGGACTCGTCACGCTGGTATGTGGACAGAAAGTGTGCTTCGCATGCCATCTCCTCGGTTGATAACTTGGGTACGTCCGACACTTCCTCGATTTGCCAGAACTTGTACATCTTTCGCTCGATGTCTTCAAGAGAAACGTGGCTGGCATGCTGAACTGATACGTTGGAAATCTGTGGCTCGACGATGACACCAGATACGATCCACCCAAGGTGAGTGTCTCGCAACTGTGGCAGGTTGTCCGCCAGGTTGAGTTGGCTTGGCTTCAGTATATCAAAAAACAGCTCTGCGCCGATCAACAGGTCCACCTTATCGGGCGTGTGGAACTCGGGATCGGCAAGAACCACTCCAGCAGGGATGTCCCAATTGTTGATGTTGATCTTCGACGATGGAATTGTGCCCGTTGCTTTCGGCGTCACGAGGCACTCGAGGCTGGCTTGGAAGTTGGATACTCGGGACTTGAATTTCAGCGTCACCTTGTCACGAGCGAGGGTGCGCAACGCGTTGATACCGGTGATCGAAACGTTGGCTGGCTTCTTCGGCAGACCCAGGCAATTGGCCATGTCTTCGGTCACGAAATTCACCTGGGAGCCGCTGTCCAACAGGATGCGGCATGGATGGGAATGACTGTTCTTATCAAACACCTGCACCACTGCGGTAAGCAGCAGTACCGTCTTGGTCGACTGGGTGAAGTTTGACGAACAGGTGGTGGACACAGGATGTTCCACGGGGGCAAGAATCTTCTGCACCGACATCGACGGTTGACTCGGAGCAGCCGGAACCGGTGGCGGGATTGCCATAGATTCCGCGGGAAGAGAAATGTTTGGCATTTTCTCCTGGGAGGGTGCCCCATCTTCATGGAGCAACGTGTGGTGTCGGCGCTGACACTTGTGGCACGTCTTGATTGAAGGGCAGTTCTTGGAACGGTGTCCTTTGCGCAGGCAGTTAAAGCAGACTCCTGCTGCTCGGATCTTTTCGTTCTTCTGGGAAGAGGTTAGGTTGTTCAGGGCAGTGCACTGGAAGTTCCGATGATCACCACCACAAATCTCACATGCTTGGGACACATTGGTGGAAACTGCGTGGCTCTTCTGCGGCTGAACTCTTGAAGGTAGCTGGGCTTGTTTTGACTTGATTGTTGGCGGCACTGACTGGAACGCTGCTTCGCAGTTTTCCAGTATCTGGCATCTGGATTTCAGGAACTCGATGACTTGGGAATACTTCGGAAGATCTCCTTTCTTCTGGGTCCCTTCCCAGGACTTACGGGTCGATTTATCAAGTGCTGAAATTATCAGATACACAATGATGTGTTCTGAAACTCCGGTGATTTGTTGCTGAAGGTAGCGCAAACTTTCGACGTGGTGAGTGGCTCCGTTCAGCAGTGTACGCAGTTCCTTATGAGACTCCGACGTCATCTTCTTGAGGAACAACAACCCACGGATGTGAGTTTCCACTATGACTCGCTTGTTCTCGTATCGGTCCGTTAAAATGGTCCAAGCTTGCTCGTAGTTATCCTCGCTTAGGAGCTTAGCGTCCAGAACTCCAGTAGCATCTCCGATAAGAGCTTTATCGAGGTGATACAATTTTATGGCATTTGTATCCCCCGAGTTGGCCATCAGGTCCTGGAAGATGGCCTTGAACTTGGGCCATGCGTCGTAACTCCCATCGAACGTTGGGATTGGTGCTTTTAACGGTTGCTGCTGGATAATCACGTGAGGTGCTGCTGGAATGGCTGGAGGAACCTTTGGAGTGGCTCGAGCTTTTGCCTCTAGCAGTAACTCTTCCACAGCATTGGATACGTCGTAGTACAGTTTCTCGAAGCTTACGTATTCGTCATCCTGTCCATCGAGCGCTTCATCGGGTACCAGGGCTATTACCTTGCTGTGGAATTGGCTGTACTCAGCGTAGGTAACAGCCAGGTTCTTGGATAGCACACCAAGTTGTGCCAATCCAAGCGTCTCATTGATCAACGTCCGATTAATCCGCACCAACTTCATTTTCGCTTGGGAGCGCTGGCGAACCAATCCACGATATTTCTTTGCTGTAGCTTCATCCCAGTTGGCTTCCCATTCGTCGAATCCATGGAACGATCCAGATCCATCCGATGGTGACGGATTTCCTTGTTGCTGTTCGACACCAGCATCTTGCACACCATCGCGTGTCGACGAACGCGTAATAGGCATTTTCGTATTTTTACGAAATCACTTTGTCTTTAACTTGTCGCGAACGCGCACACGAACTCGATTCACTTGCTATTATTCGCGCACGATGGGCATCGGCAACAGCGGAAGCAGTTTTGTTTTGGCACTGTTTGCTAGCGTAGCTCGTCCTTTTCCCCACTCGGAAGGCGGCAGGCAGTTCGATCCTTTTGGTAGGACTGGGCAAACTTACGGGCGAAATCTTCTTCAAACGGCTCGCTATCCGGTTCGTGATGGACCAAATTGATGTTCGGTCTGGGAAGGCACTTTCCCTTTCGGCAGTGGACTGTATCGGCAATGATTGGTGGAGGAGGCAAGCGTCGATCTAAATCAATCTCTTTGAGCTCTGAAAAGAGCTGGGGGTGGGTTTCAACGCTTGCTCCGAACCAGGGATGTGTGCTTGGTAATTATTTAAACGGCGAACGGCTACGCTAGTAACTACTTTATTTCTCTCCTCTTTCTCTCTACAAAGGTTTGCTTTTTCTGCTGCTGATGCTTGCTCGTGGCCGGTCAAAAGGAAACTGAATGTCAGTTTGCCATTTAAATGATCTTTATTTCTTGTGATTGTGTGGTTTACATGTATGAATTTTTTAAGTGACACAGATGCGTCTTTTCAACTTTAGTACATTTGAGATTTTAATTATTATTTACAGTTCCTAGTCCTATCAGGCCTATTTTAAAGTATGACCACCTTGGTGGGATTGGTTTGATTTGAATTGGAAAAAGGAGACTAATTATAACTACTATTTACAACTACAACTAACCTACAACTACTATGTACACCTAACCTACTATATACAAATTGCTTATCAAATCATGTTCTGATAAATTACATTTTTGTACAAATTTAGTCTTAATTTCGTTAATTTTGGAATCTATTTTGGCAATGCCTGCCTCTTCATGTAAATTTGTTATTCTAGTGTCGAAAGGACGATCAAGAACCATCCTCAGCACTCTATTCTGAGCTACCTGAATTTTGTTCCTGTGAGTCTGTGCACATGATTCCCACACCGGAGCTGCGTAGAGGATCGCAGGTGCTATGATTTGTTTGTAGACGGCCAGTTTGTTCACCCTTGAGAGGCGGGATCTGCGGCAAATCAGCGGATACAGACTCCTAACCAAGGCGGAACACTTGACTACGGTTTTCTCCACATGCGAGCGGAATAGAAGCTTTTCGTCAAACAACATCCCGAGATAGGTTACTTGGGCGGACCACTCAACCCTTGTGCCATCCATGATTACAGTACAAGAGGGAGCCGGTTTTAGTTTGGGTGATTGTCGATGGAGGAACATGATTGTTTGTGTTTTGGAAGCATTGATTTTGATTTTCCACGTGGTGGCATAATCAGCAAAGGCGTTAAGGCATCGTTGAAGTTTGTTCGTTATTTCACGAGGCATCCTTCCTTTGACGGCTATTGCGGTATCATCTGCGAACAGGAAGAACACGCAACCGTCACCGAGGGGAGGAATGTCGGAAGTATAAATGCTGTAAAGCAAGGGGCCCAGCAAACTGCCTTGCGGGACTCCTGCTGGGATGGAAAACGTGTCTGAAAGACAACCTTTCAACGATACCTTAAACGACCTTTGCTGGAGGTAGCTACGGGTGATTTTAACCAGATGTAATGGAAAGTTGAAGTTACAAAGCTTGTATACAAGCCCATTGTGCCAGACATTATCAAACGCTTTCTCAACGTCTAACAATGCCATGGCTGTGGACTTGGATACAGCTTTGTTACTTCGGATGTTATTCATCACCCGCACTAGCTGGTGATTGGTGGAGTGCCCCTTTCTGAATCCAAACTGTTCCGGAAGGAGAATGTTATTTTCCTCGACAAACTTGAGCAAACGATTGAGAATGAGTTTCTCGAACAATTTGCTCAGCGCTGAAAGGAGGCTGATTGGTCTGTAGCTTGAAGCTAGCGTTGGGTCCTTCCCGGGTTTGCGGATAGGTATGATTTTCGCTGTCTTCCAGATGCTTGGAAAGTAGTGCAGTTCCAAGCATCTGTTGAAGACAGCAGCCAGCAGAGAGTGAACCTTCATGCTGAGATTTTTCAACACTAGGTTGAATATTCCGTCAAACCCGGGGGCCTTCATGTTTTTGGTGCATTTCAGCGCTGAGCAAATCTGTTCAACTGTGATTCTATCCTCCGGAGGGATGGCACAAGGGGAGGAATCAAAGTTGAGTACGCATTGCTCAACCTGAACTTCGAGCGGACTTTGGTTGTTGGAGCCAAGCAAGTGCGATTTGGCAATATGCTCACCAATCGCATTTGCTTTCTCCTGAGGGGTGATTATGAGCCGATCGTCATCATTTTCATCTTTTAGTGGCGGAATGGGTTTAGGGTGCGTCTTTAAGACCTTGGCAACTTTCCAGAATGGTCTGGAGCGGTCGTCCAGATTCTGGACAAGCCGCCCGAAACTTTCGTTCCGGAGTGAGACCATTCTGGAAGCAATCTCCTTGTTCAGATCGGCCATTTCACGTTTCATCGCTTGATCTTCAGTCCTCTGAAACTGGCGTCTACGAACATTTCTCAGGCGAATTAAGAGTTGGGTGTGGGAATCAATAGCAATAAACTTACCCCTCACAGGAACTCGTCGGATGCACGCCTCGTCAGCCACGGTTATGGCTTGGTGCAGTCCCTTCAATGCTCGGTCGATGTCCTCCACGATGTCAAGCGGCGGGTTGTCGATGATGTGCCTGTCTACCACGCGTCCAAACTGGGCCCAGTTTACGCGATGATAGTCCTTGCGCAGGCTTGAAGCAGGAGCCACGTTGCAGCCCAGCTCAGACACCACCGGTTGGTGGTCGGAACTGAGTTCGTTCAAGGCTACCGGCTTGGACAAGCCGATATTTGTCAGGAACATGTCTAGCGTCGATGGGTTGCCCGCCGGTGAGATAAATGTTGGCTCATCCGAAAACCAAACGGAGTACAGCCCATGCTGTGAGTGGTCGAACAGGAGACGACCGTTCTGGTTCTGCTGGTAGTTCCGCCAGGCCTCATGGCGAGCATTCAGATCTCCTCCAACTACGAAGCGGGAACCGGTACGGGTGATGGTGGACAGGTCCTTCTTGAATTTAGCCGCTAGTCCACTGCTGGCGGCACACTGTCGAGGGCAGTAGACGGCGATGAACTGGACGTATCCAGTCGATGACTCCACCTCCACACCAAGGGCCTCGATGATAGTGGTGCGGATATGGGACAGAGTGTGGTATTTTATTCCTTTCTTGACGACGACCGCAACACCACCCCCCCTGGAGCTGGTGCGATCAAGCCGGATAATGTTGTGGTCAGGCAACCAGAAGCTGTCACCGGACTTTAGATGGGTCTCGGTTAGAAGGCCCACGTCGATGCTGTGCTTGCGGAGGAAGTCGGCAAGCTCAATCTCTTTTGCTCTAACAGAGCAAGCATTCCAGGTGACGATACTTAGCGGTTTAGACGCCATACTGGATGATGAACTTACCGAGCACTTGGATCTGTTCGGGCTTATTGCGGCACTTACGAAGAGCACCGGACATGTTGACGAAAATTTCCATCAGTTCATCCGCTGAGAACAGATCGGGGTTGTTGTTTTGCGCTGTTGGTTGTCTCCAGAATCCAGGGGGGATGGAGAGCTTTGGCCAGCAGAATCACCGGAAGTTGCTTGAGCGGAATGCACCCGCGAATTCACTTGCCTTTGCTGAGGAGCACGAAGGGGCGGGAAATCCTCCGTCCGAAATGCCGGGACTTTGTCCTTCTTGCGTCCTGGTTGGTTGTTAGTTGCCGCCTGTTTTCGGATGCGTTTGAAGTCCTCGCGTTTGGAGCACTGTCTGTCGGAACCTTGATGAGCACCACCACAGTTGGCGCATTTTAACGCTACGGCTCCTTCCGCAGGGCAGTTGGAAGTGGCGTGTTCTTGAGCGCAGTTGCTACAACGTGGCTTGATGTTGCAGTTGCGAGTGCCGTGTCCAAAGTTCAGACATCGTTGGCACTGGGTCACATCGCGATGGCCTCCATGGTATGGCTCCCATCGTACGATTATGGAGTAGATTGAGCGGATAGCCTGCAGCGCATTCAGCGTCACCGTTCCCTTCTGGAAGTGCACCAGGAAAAGACAATCCGGGTACGTCTTCACGTTTTCGTCTCGCCTCGTCATCCGAAAGACAGCGATTGGGGCCAGCTTGTACCGGTCCTTGAGTTCTTCTTCGATCGCCTTGGGATCAACATCCGGTAGACCCCTGATGACTACCTTGAAGGGCTTTTCACCGGGGATGTCGTGCGTGAAGTATTCCGCATTGGAATCCTTCAGGAATTTGACTGCGATTTCGTATTCCGCTTTCGTCCGGAGCATCACCTTAGTGCCAATCCTGCTGATCTTGTACTCAGCTGCGATGCCCAGCGATGCGAAATCGCCAATGAGCGTCTTGAGTGGCACTACCTTCACCACCAGTGGAGGAAGCTTGATTTTCGCCGCACTCGGGCCGGCAGAATTCGCGGTTTCGACGGCGTCGCCGAAATCACCGATGTCGCTGGCGTTTGTCGCGGTAACATCGTCGCGTCCGCTCGTACCATCGGACTGACCTTGGTTCTTCTTCCTCTTTTTCGTCCGCTTCACCGGGACTGGGTTGGTATTTCCAACATCGGTGGGCAGAGTAGCGTACCTATTTGAGGTAGGTACCGAGCTACCCTCACCACTGTTCTTCTTCTCCGCTTGTTCACGAAGTCGGCTCCGAGAGCGCTGTCTTCCCATCACGCGATGCGACCGACACTACTGACTACGCGACGTGCAGTATATCTGCAAACGTTTGTAACAAACTATAGATTAATCGAACAACTCGACAAAGCGAGCAAAGACCGAACTCAACTGCTTGACGTTCAAGCAGAGAATCCCGAATGTCAGTTTGCCTAATGGGTGCCACTTTTATAGGAGCGCGCTGTCTGCGCATGGTGATATGGACGTCGCTGATTGGTTAGTGTTGTTTGTCGCTGTTCGTCAGCGGCGATTGT